AAGCTGAGGATATAGCCTTGGTTTGGGACCAGGTCAAGCTGAGGATATAGCCTTGGTTTGGGACCAGGTCAAGCTGAGAATATAGCCTTGGTTTGGGACCAGGTCAAGCTGAGAATATAGCCTTGGTTTGTGACCAGGTCAAGCTGAGAATATAGCCTTGGTTTGGGACCAGGTCAAGCTGAGAATATAGCCTTGGTTTGTGACCAGGTCAAGCTGAGAATATAGCCTTGGTTTGGGACCAGGTCAAGCTGAGAATATAGCCTTGGTTTGGGACCAGGTCAAGCTGAGAATATAGCCTTGGTTTGGGACCAGGTCAAGCTGAGAATATAGCCTTGGTTTGGGACCAGGTCAAGCTGAGAATATAGCCTTGGTTTGGGATCAGGTCAAGCTGAGAATATAGCCTTGGTTTGGGATCAGGTCAAGCTGAGAATATAGCCTTGGTTTGGGACCAGGTCAAGCTGAGAATATAGCCTTGGTTTGGGACCAGGTCAAGCTGAGAATATAGCCTTGGTTTGGGACCAGGTCAATCTGAGAATATAGCCTTGGTTTGGGACCAGGTCAAGCTGAGAATATAGCCTTGGTTTGGGACCAGGTCAAGCTGAGAATATAGCCTTGGTTTGGGATCAGGTCAAGCTGAGAATATAGCCTTGGTTTGGGATCAGGTCAAGCTGAGAATATAGCCTTGGTTTGGGACCAGGTCAAGCTAAGGATATAGCCTTGGTTTGGGACCAGGTCAAGCTGAGAATATAGCCTTGGTTTGGGACCAGGTCAAGCTGAGAATATAGCCTTGGTTTGGGACCAGGTCAAGCTGAGAATATAGCCTTGGTTTGTGACCAGGTCAAGCTGAGAATATAGCCTTGGTTTGGGACCAGGTCCAGCTGAGAATATAGCCTTGGTTTGTGACCAGGTCAAGCTGAGAATATAGCCTTGGTTTGGGACCAGGTCAAGCTGAGAATATAGCCTTGGTTTGGGACCAGGTCAAGCTGAGAATATAGCCTTGGTTTGGGACCAGGTCAAGCTGAGAATATAGCCTTGGTTTGGGACCAGGTCAAGCTGAGAATATAGCCTTGGTTTGGGACCAGGTCAAGCTGAGAATATAGCCTTGGTTTGGGACCAGGTCAAGCTGAGGATATAGCCTTGGTTTGGGACCAGGTCAAGCTGAGGATATAGCCTTGGTTTGGGACCAGGTCAAGCTGAGAATATAGCCTTGGTTTGGGACCAGGTCAAGCTGAGAATATAGCCTTGGTTTGGGACCAGGTCAAGCTGAGAATATAGCCTTGGTTTGGGACCAGGTCAAGCTGAGAATATAGCCTTGGTTTGGGACCAGGTCAAGCTGAGAATATAGCCTTGGTTTGGGACCAGGTCAAGCTGAGAATATAGCCTTGGTTTGGGATCAGGTCAAGCTGAGAATATAGCCTTGGTTTGGGACCAGGTCAAGCTGAGAATATAGCCTTGGTTTGGGACCAGGTCAAGCTGAGAATATAGCCTTGGTTTGGGACCAGGTCAATCTGAGAATATAGCCTTGGTTTGGGACCAGGTCAAGCTGAGAATATAGCCTTGGTTTGGGACCAGGTCAAGCTGAGAATATAGCCTTGGTTTGTGACCAGGTCAAGCTGAGAATATAGCCTTGGTTTGTGACCAGGTCAAGCTGAGAATATAGCCTTGGTTTGGGACCAGGTCAAGCTGAGGATATAGCCTTGGTTTGGGACCAGGTCAAGCTGAGAATATAGCCTTGGTTTGGGACCAGGTCAAGCTGAGAATATAGCCTTGGTTTGTGACCAGGTCAAGCTGAGAATATAGCCTTGGTTTGGGACCAGGTCAAGCTGAGAATATAGCCTTGGTTTGTGACCAGGTCAAGCTGAGAATATAGCCTTGGTTTGTGACCAGGTCAAGCTGAGAATATAGCCTTGGTTTGGGACCAGGTCAAGCTGAGAATATAGCCTTGGTTTGGGACCAGGTCAAGCTGAGAATATAGCCTTGGTTTGGGACCAGGTCAAGCTGAGAATATAGCCTTGGTTTGGGACCAGGTCAAGCTGAGGATATAGCCTTGGTTTGGGATCAGGTCAAGCTGAGGATATAGCCTTGGTTTGTGACCAGGTCAAGCTGAGAATATAGCCTTGGTTTGGGATCAGGTCAAGCTGAGAATATAGCCTTGGTTTGGGACCAGGTCAAGCTAAGGATATAGCCTTGGTTTGGGACCAGGTCAAGCTGAGAATATAGCCTTGGTTTGGGACCAGGTCAAGCTGAGAATATAGCCTTGGTTTGGGACCAGGTCAAGCTGAGAATATAGCCTTGGTTGGGGACTGCAGCACTTAGACAGCCCAACGTGAGCAGTACCTGACTCGCCTGATATAGTTACCTAGTTACAGTTACCTGTACTCCCCCACCGTGCACCAACTCCCCCACCCCACCCCACCCCCCTCACCTGACTCAATCTAAATTATCTGGAACATTTTCTATCGCTTGTATGTTTCCTGTCCCCTATCGAGCTCATTTTGACTTAGAGCAGGTCACTGTGTAAAAAACAACGGACACAATCTAATCTATTCAGTACCTAGTCCGTATCTCCCATCAGTTATAAAGCAGATATATTATAAACGAATCAGTAATCACTTATCAGTAAATTTATTGACTCTTTCTGTATCATTACCATAATTTGAATCGAAATGGTTAATTGATGGAACTACACAAAGCACATAATGGATACAACTGTGGACCTGTTGAAGTATGGTGACGGTTACTGTGTACCTACCCTAGTGTGGACCTACCCTAGTGTGGACCTACCCTAGTGTGGACCTACCCTAGTGTGGACCTACCCTAGTGTGGACCTACCCTAGTGAGGACCTACCCTAGTGTGGACCTACCCTAGTGTGGACCTACCCTAGTGTGGACCTACCCTAGTGTGGACCTACCCTAGTGTGGACCTACCCTAGTGTGGACCTACCCTAGTGTGGACCTACCCTAGTGTGGACCTACCCTAGTGTGGACCTACCCTAGTGTGGACCTACCCTAGTGTGGACCTACCCTAGTGTGGACCTACCCTAGTGTGGACCTACCCTAGTGTGGACCTACCCTAGTGTGGACCTACCCTAGTGTGGACCTACCCTAGTGTGGACCTACCCTAGTGTGGACCTACCCTAGTGTGGACCTACCCTAGTGTGGACCTACCCTAGTGTGGACCTACCCTAGTGTGGACCTACCCTAGTGTGGACCTACCCTAGTGTGGACCTACCCTAATGTGGACCTACCCTAGTGTGGACCTACCCTAGTGTGGACCTACCCTAGTGTGGACCTACCCTAGTGTGGACCTACCCTAGAATGTATAATTGGGATTTTGAGCAGGGATAATTAGCATCACATCCAAACCAGTCAACCATATTATATATATACCTCGTATATATATATATATATATATACGAGGAATTAAGTAGCCATTTATTTATCATGTAACCTTCCTTTGTTAAGATGCTCAGTCACGTATAGTTGCCATGGTGACAATTAATTAGTCACATATATGCTATCACAATTAGTCACGTACATGCTATCACAATGAGTAAACACAAATTACCGCACTGTTGAAGTATTATGTATCATGGTGACGGTTACTGTTGAAGTATTAGGTATCATGGTGACAGTTACTATGGTTACTGTTGAACTAGTCAAGTATTAGGTATCATGGTGACGGTTACTGTTGAAGTATTAGGTATCATGGTGACGGTTACTGTTGAACTAGCCAAGTATTAGGTATCATGGTGACGGTTACTGTTGAAGTATTAGGTATCATGGTGACGGTTACTGTTGAAGTATTAGGTATCATGGTGACGGTTACTATGGTTACTGTTGAACTAGTCAAGTATTAGGTATCATGGTGACGGTTACTGTTGAAGTATTAGGTATCATGGTGACGGTTACTATGGTTACTGTTGAACTAGCAAAGTATTAGGTATCATGGTGACGGTTACTATGGTTACTGTTGAACTAGCCAAGTATTAGGTATCATGCAATGGTGACGGTTACTATGGTTACTGTTGAACTAGCCAAGTATTAGGTATCATGGTGACGGTTACTATGGTTACTGTTGAACTAGCCAAGTATTACCCCCCAGTTCCATAGCGGATATTATGCCAAATTATTAGACGGAGGTCCATTTCTACGGTGATGATTCTCCGGCTCCGTCTACTGTATTAGACGGAGATGAAGCTCTCCGGGAATTTCTCGGAGATTGTAGCAGTTTGTGGCAGTTTCTTTGCACTTTGCTCCATCTGTGAGAATCAACAAAATTACCGTAGATGGTCTCCGGATAAGGTAATGGAACTGCAAACCGGAGAAATATCCGTAGAAATATTAGTTGACGATCTCCATCTAATAATTTGGCATAATATCCGCTATGGGACTGGGGGGTTAGGTATCATGCAATGATGACGGTTACCATGGTTACTGTTGAACTAGCCAAGTATTAGGTATCATGCAATGGTGACAGTTACTATGGTTACTGTTGAACTAGCCAAGTATTATGTATCATGCAATGGTGACGGTTACTATGGTTACTGTTGTCGTTGAACTAGCAAAGTATTAGGTATCATGGTGACGGTTACTATGGTTACTGTTGAACTAGCCAAATATTAGGTATCATGGTGACGGTTACTATGGTTACTGTTGAACTAGCTAAGTATTAGGTATCATGCAATGGTGACGGTTACTATGGTTACTGTTGAACTAGCCAAGTATTAGGTATCATGGTGACGGTTACTATGGTTACTGTTGAACTAGCCAAGTATTAGGTATCATGGTGACGGTTACTATGGTTACTGTTGAACTAGCCAAGTATTAGGTATCATGGTGACGGTTACTATGGTTACTGTTGAACTAGCCAAGTATTCCATGTTCGACAACAGTTACTCTAATCGGCAAAGATTAGATTGATAGAATGTGTATTCGGTTGATAAGATTTAATTTGGTTTATTTAGTTTACACTTTTCTTTCTGTGAAACTGATTCACTCTTCAGATATGACTCATGATGTCGGAGGAAAAGACATGATGTCGTATCACTAAACAGGTAACAAATCAGCTATGTTATCCATAGTAACCATCATAGCCGGGTAATCATGGCAACTATTACCACCTGGTTACCTTGCTTATTAAAACTTGACAACTGGCGTTAAGCCAAAAGTCACACTTACTATGGTAACTGAGAAAAATTGGTTACCGTTGCAGCTGAAGAGGCAGCTCTCTTCATTACTTGTTTCTGGAAACTGGATAACAAAATATATGCAGTATACTTGATGATCGAGATGGTTCATCGTTAAATTTAAATTATATAAAACAGAGCGTAAACGAGAATTACGTAACTGTAAAGCAGCTTGATGTTAATCCATCTTCAAACACGTGGATCATCAGCCAGAAATTTTCAGAATTTTCCTCTTTGAATGCACCGATAATTAATATGGGTCCTGACACCTCACTAATCAATAATTGTAACGACTTATTTCCTACACTTGTGTCATTAATTAATTAATTCACTACTTAAGGCAGAGGCGGCCTAATTATAGGGCTTATATTTCTATTAAGCTATTATTTCAGGGTACCAGTAAAATGCAATGATTGATAGAGCTATTATTTCAGGGTACCAGTAAAATGCAATGATTGATAGAGTGTCGACGGAGGAGAGCAGGGAAGTTAACAGAGAAACAGACATTTTATTACAACATCTTAAGCTCAAACGGAAAATAGGTAAATATTTATAGTTGCATGTGTGAAACTTAAAACGGAGGGGAGAGGGGCCGGAGGAGGGGGAGGGGGTTACACTTACTAATTGTGAAACTGAAAACGGAGGGGAGAGGGGCCGGAGGAGGGGGAGGGGGTTACTAATTGTGAAACTGAAAACGGAGGGGGGAAGGGGGAAGCCTTGATTACGTAACTGTCAGGAGGGGGGTTTGGTCTTGAGTACGGTTGATTACGGAGGGGGAGTGGGGCTAAAAATGGGTGGGCGACAATTGACAACCCCCCCCCCCCCCCCCCCCCCCCCCGACAATTAACCCGCCGACAATTGACCCGCCGACCCTAAGCCTAACCAATTCAATTGTCGGGGGGTCAATTGTCGTATTAAGCCCTAGATTTCGCGACAATTTACCTCAGTGTAATTACATAGGGGGTCAATTGTCGGGGGTCAATTGTCGGGGGTCAATTGTCGTACTAAGCCCTATAGATTTCGCGACAATTGACCCCAGTGTAATTACATAGGGGTTCAATTGTCGCGGTACCGTAAAAATTGCTAAAATATTGATTACGTAATATGTGAACGACCCCTCATAAAAAGGATCATGCGGGTACTATAGGTCAGTCTAAATGAATTATATAGCTTAATGCCTTCACAAGATCAAAGTCGAGCACTGCAGATTAAAATTATAGTATAGTTTTAAAGTATTTGATACAGGAAAATGGCAAAACTACATTTACTTTTAGTTTTCCCTTTATTATCTGACAAAAGAATAACTTTTATAAATTACATCTCTCGCAGGTTGTGGAGGTTTTGGTTACGTGTACGAAGGTACGTATAAAGGAACTAAAGTGGCGGTCAAGAAGATGCATGCAAACCGACGGAACAAAATGATCGCATTAGAAAGTCTTCGAGCAGAACTGTTCGTAGTCAGAATGAACCTGAACCATCCGAACATCGTTAGAACTCTGGGGACCACCACATCGGGCAGGGAGGTGGACGACCTTCCTTTTCTTGTCATGGAGTTTGCGGGCTCTAGAAACCTCCAGAACATTATAAATAATCCAGAGGAGGAAATCAGCGCCTTCAGGCGGTTTAAATACGCTACCGGAATAGCTCGGGCTCTAGAATACACTCATTTGAAGGGAATCGTACATCTGGATGTCAAACCGGCCAATATTATCATTGACGAATATGACACGTGCAAGTTAGGAGATTTCGGGTGCGCGCAGCGGTTGGGGGAGTCATGCGACAACGAGTTTACCCCGAGTCCCAGCATCACGGGGACAACTGTGTACAGGGCACCAGAACTTCTGAAGGGGTTTATTCCTCAAACAAGCGCTGATATGTACTCTGTGGGCATCCTCTCTTGGACGCTACTCACTAGGGAGACTCCTTATGGGGCTGAAAACCTGCAGGTATTACATTTTAATTCTTTTTTTACATTTAAGTTCTTCTTGTTTTTGATTTTGACTTTCTACAAAATCGAGAAATGCGCAGTAAAGCATTTACCGGTTTGCTAGTCAAAAAAATGTTATTTTTGCAAAGTTTAATGAAAAGCTTAATTTTGTTTCTATGCCAAACACAAACAAAATATTGGCTAATCGGGCTCAATCATAATCATTAACTCCAAAATGACCTGGCAGACTGCCAGTACCCCTAATTAAGTTATTAGTTGTTGTTGTTAATTATCAAATACCTATTCAGTATTCACACAGAGGGAAATCACTATCCAGTCTTAACCGTGTGCGTATGTAATTGCAGGGAGCCATTATTGTGATGGTCCAATTAAGGCCCCTCATGAGTTACCTGGGGATACCAGGCTATAAGTATAATGTTCATAAACATAGTGATAGAGGTTCTGCGGAATGACTGCGCCGCTCATGAGCCCACTTTACCGGTTATATAAGTGTTTCCTGGGTACACGTACTCAAGTTTGACACGCACTGTAGTTCGACAAACCCTAAGGACTCTGTCGATCAGCATGTCGAACTAAAGTGTGCTACCTGGACTCAAGTTCGATTTCGACACGTACTAAGATTCGCGTTCGACAAGACTAAGAGAACTAGAATTTTGAACTAGAATTTTGAAATCTCCGATCTCAAGCGACGATGATCCTTTTGCCTTTACGAGCTTCAAATCTATTCGTTTGTTTGTTTTTCACTTGATGATGTTCAGCTAATAAATGTGAATCTTGTTCTTAATATTATCTATAATCCATATCTATGGACATTTTTTCAACCTGTCTTCAATTATATGGAGTATTAGGAAGCGAGAGGAATAGGCGCTGGATCAGGATAGGATATTAAGTAAAATAATAATAATAAAGTTAAGTAAATTTTAACTGTCATAAAATTACCACTTGCGTCACAGTGTACCATCTTATTCATTATTGTTAACTTTTTCCCGTGATGAATTTCGTATAGTGCGTATACCCTTGCTAAAGAAAGTCAAATGTTCCAAAAATCATTTTTTTACCCCCCCCCCCCCCCTCCGTAATCAGTTTTACACATCGCTATTGTGTCAAAATTACACAAGCGTAATCATTCGGAAACCCCCCACCCCCCCCCCCCCCCCCCAGCTGATTACGTAATATGTGAACGACCCCTAAGGAGAAACCGCACAATTAAATATGCCGATGCGTGATCACTGATCAGTTTTATTTGTAAAGAGAAACCGAAACTAAATAGCACGTGTTACAGAGAAACCGAAACTAAATAGCACGTATTACAGAGAAACCGAAACTAAATAGCACGTGTTAAAGAGAAACCGAAACTAAATAGCACGTGTTACAGAGAAACCGAAACTAAATAGCACGTGTTAAAGAGAAACCGAAACTAAATAGCACGTGTTAAAGAGAAACCGAAACTAAATAGCACGTGTTACAGGTGATAACATGGGGAGTAGTCGCACTGAACTTGCGGCCTGACAGCGACAGCAGCACGGCCCGGAGGGAGGTTGGAGAGGTGGAATACCGTAAACTCTACAGGGACTGTTGGGACGGAGAACCCTCCAACCGACCGACGGCTACCCAGTTTCTGGAGCGGTTACATCAACTAATTCCCAACTGAGACACCAACCCCGGCTCTGTGCACTTTTTTAATACGTTTTTAATTTTTATACAAGTCACTCCGACATAGGGCTCTCAGAGGACATTTGAGAGAGTTTAATTTAGATGCCGTACAATTGCACACACACGATTACATGCAATTAGTTATTACTTCTAGAACAATGCGTGAGCACGTGGGCACAAATTGTATTTGGTATAAACAGTGTCGTTTATACATCGTCCTAATCGATTGCCTTTGGGTTTTAAATTCAAAGCTTTATAAATTTCCAAATGGTCGTAACAAATTTCCTGATACACAGACCGGTAGTGCATAGTGGCGCCTTCTTCCCGAAATTACGCATTTCGGTACAGTTTTATACCCCATTTCTGATTTCATGAGAGGTTAATCGGCGACCAAAAGACTACGCAGCCAACCTAGATTCTTGACTTCCTTTCACCCAAATTCACGAGAGTAAATTTGGAAACATTTAATTTTTGATGGCAATCGATTTAGTGCGATCGCTTCACCTTGCACATGCATCCATATTGTTCCTACTTATTGTTACACTGAGATTCATTTCCACACTTGATCAATGAGAAACTGTTTAAAAGCTAATCCCAGCTGAATAATGTGCAGTGGATTCAGGATTGTGTTCGATCATATCATGGTCTAATTCTAACATAGGTCAGCAAATGAGACTGCTATGTCATATCTTAGTCTTAGGATAGTTCCAAGGTAAGGGTGGTCTTCTTAAAACTTAGTCTCGCTTATCTGACATGATTTTGTTTGGATAAAGCGAGCAGGGGCTTGGTTCGATTATTCTTTGATTTTTATTCTGAGTATGAGCAAATCTACTAATTCTATAGGAAAGACTCTGCCTCACAACGAGATATTGTGAATACCTGAAATATTTAAATGTTGGTAAGCAAATAAGTTCGTTTTAAAATTAAAATAAGAAGTGTAATAAAGTTTAATTCAATTCAGAGATCTCTGATTCGGTTTGAGTTTTAATTGATGTTAGTAAAATTGTTGATATATTTTAAATGTTTTCAGTTTATTTTGTTCGGTTAGTTGTACATTTTACTGTAGTAAAGTATATCAAGTAAGTTTAAGGCAGAAGAATTTGGTTAATTTAATTTGAATATAAATTATGATTTAGTTAATGATAATATGAACGATTATTTATTCGATTGAGGTTCAATTAACTTCATTAATTGATAGATTGATTGCAGGTTAATTCAATTTAAATGGTACGGTAAAGGGTAAAATTGTAATTTGTTTTTTTTTGGGCGGCCCATGTTCGATATTACTTCATTTGTTTGAACGAACTTTATTCTGTTTGAGCTTTTAATTTTTGGAAAATGTTAGCTTTTCACTAACACTTTTAATCTAATTTCTGTAATCACAATCCACAAGATTCTACAAATTTCGGTACGATAAGTACACTCGTACAGGGTGTTCCAAAATGAACTATTCTTGTTTTATAGTTGATAACAAGAATACAACCACTGTATTCTACTACTACTTACTACTACTAGTACTACTGAATACCCTGTACACTATTCTACAGTGTCTCCTGGTCATGTTGAGACATTATTTATTACAGTTGACAGCATTTTTGATTTTGAACCTTCAAGTTTTAGTTTTTCAATATCTGTAATGCAAAATAGTTACCCATGGCCATGTTATACCCTAATTAATGGCAATGATTTCTCATTAACATTTCTCCATTATTTTGCTGTTTTATCACAAAGACAGTTCAAATCGGTAACATTTAATTACCAATATACCATGGCTTTAAGTGAAGATTTATAGTTATGGCTCATGAACCAATTAGCATGCTCACAAACAGGGTGGGTACAATTGTTCATTTTAAAATATTTTATGTTTGAAGAGACTTACTTTCAGTATTGTTTTCTCCGTTTAAATTATTGCCAATAAGAAAGGCATGTGATTAAGAAGAACTTTGTGGAATTGCGGATAAAGTAGACAAGACTAAATCGCTTTTTTTTCTAAATTATTTGTAATCTGAGAAGAAACTTTTGATTTTACATAAACTGGACTACATAAACTAAGGACGTTTTTACTTCTTGAGTAATGAGTATTGAAATGAGTATTGACAATTGAAAACAACGCGTATGATTTCTTTATGACGAATTAAATTAATGAAATAAAATACAATGCCATTCATCAGATGAAAATTGTATCACATAAAATTATTCATAATTTAATCTGAAAATGTAAAATTTGGTCACTACTCAAAAGGTAGACCCGATTAAAACAGCACACTTAGCACAAACCTCTACCAAATACCAATCTCCATTCTCCCTAAGTCAGCATATCCACCCACTATCATAAATAATGGAATCACCTTACAAGGATGAAACCTATCCAATTCCATCTAATCATGATGATTTCTTGGCTGGATGCTTTCCACTCGCTGTTTTCTTAGCTGCCGGTTTCTTTTTAGCAGCCGGTTTCTTAGCTGCTGGCTTCTTAGCTGCTGATTTCTTCGCGGCTGATTTTTTAATCATAACATCCTCCCCCTCTTCTTCAGACTCAGCGTTATCTTCAGTTTTAACATCATCTGTGCTAACCGCTTTAACTTTCTTTTTTTTAGCAGCCGCGCTCTCCAGCGCATATGGAGTCATGTGGCTCCCTTTGTTAAATTGCCGAGTAAAGGCTGATTTGGTTTTAGTATTGAGGTTAGCAGCAGGGTTAGGGTGAGGCGAGAAGGTTGATAGTTCCATTATACTGTCCCAGTCTTCCCTCTGGAGGTCGTACTGGTTCATTGTGGATATTACCTGCGGGGTTCAAGGCCAATTAAAAACATCAGAAATGAGCTGGATATAAGTTTAGATCCATGTTCTCTTTAGCAATATGAGGATGAAAACTACTGGAAATCTGCTCATTTAAATAACTCAAACATTTAGATCGATTATAAATACTGTTTTTATACCTCTGACACACCCTCAGATTCTTTATCCAATAGAGGAGAAACCAGTTTGTTCTTGAGAAGAGGCAAGTACTCCATACCCAGCTGCCTCTTATCCGTACTAACGTTCAGCACCATGTGGGACAGCAGATCTTGTAGCATACCGTCACATCTGGACGGGGGATATATAGTAACATCTGACCGAAGCAAATTTTAACAAAACAATAAATTTCATTACTTTTTTCGTTTAAAACCGACAGTCGAATGAGCTTAAGTTTTACAACACTCATTATGTATACACTGTAAATAAAGATAATAACCTGTTTTTCTTGCTGGTTTGTCCAAGAACCTGAGGGAACTGCGTCATGCCGGACAAACCTCCTCTCATGTAATAACACGGCATAATAGCAGAGAAATGAGACTGTGTGGGTAAAAGAGACCAGTTCTGCATCTTGATGGCAGAGTTGACCTGGTCCCCGGTACAGACACTGTCAGCTGCGTTACTCAGGCAAATCAGCGCGGATAGAGCGTTATTGTGGGCCCGCATTGGTCTGCTCCGGGGGTAGTTCTCGTGGATAAAGAACGGTGTCATACTGTAGTCCTGAGGAAAACATGGTATTGGAGCAAAATACTATGAAAATACAGGGCATTCACGATACAGTTTTAAATGTCTATAAAAACATTTATGAAGGAACATTCCACTATGTTTTCCACTCATTTATATGGACTGCTCCTTCATAAAAATGTTTATAGACGTTTAAAACCGTTTCAATGTATCGTGGATACCCTGTAGCTAAAATGTGCTAGTCTTGTGTTCTAGAATCTAGTTAATGATTGTACTACCACTAAGCTGAGTTTGAGTCTTGTGTTCTAGAATCTAGTTAATGATTGTACTACCACTAAGCTGAGTTTGAGGTCTTCAGTTCAAGAATCTAGTTAATGATTGTACTACCACTAAGCTGACTTTGAGCTACTACAATACCTGGAAGAAGAGGTCAGTGTAATCAGCGTATGTGTATTTTCTTGTTTCTTCACCGGCTGAGAAAAACAGCCTAGGAATGTCGAAGATTCCGATATTCATATCTTTCCTGGCACTTTCAGCATCTTTTCCAGCCTGGTGATAGGATGTGTAGATATATGTATATATATATATAATAAGGACGAGGTATTGTTGGAGATTGTAATTGGGGTCTTGTTTACAACTGTTTAAGAGTTAAGTACCACCCGTATTTGGGCGTATTTACACTCAGAATTGAGTTGGATACGAGATTAGGGACGTACAAGTGACGTGAAGATGGGGGGCATGGTGTGGGGCGTGGTGTGGGGCGTGGTGTGGGGCGTGGTGTGGGGCGTGGTGTGGGGCGTGGTGTGGGGCGTGGTGTGGGGCGTGGTGTGGGGCGTGGTGTGGGGCGTGGTGTGGGGCGTGGTGTGGGGCGTGGTGTGGGGCGTGGTGTGGGGGCGTGGTGTGGGGCGTGGTGTGGGGCGTGGTGTGGGGCGTGGTGTGGAGTGGGACGTGGTGTGGGACGTGGTGTGGGGCGTGGTGTGGGGCGTGGTGTGGGGCGTGGTGTGGGGCGTGGTGTGGGGCGTGGTGTGGGGCGTGGTGTGGGGCGTGGTGTGGGGCATGGTGTGGGGCGTGGTGTGGGGCGTGGTGTGGGGCGTGGTGTGGGCGTGGTGTGGGGGGACGTGGTGTGGGGCATGGTGTGGGGCGTGGTGTGGGGCGTGGTGTGGGGCGTGGTGTGGGGCGTGTTGTGTTAGCTACTCCCTAGACTAGGTGACACTGGGATGCTCTAACCACCAGGCCATCTAGGTAAAGCAAGTGCAATCATAATAGGCTGCGGCATCCCAAATAGACACCAACGCGAGGAAGTTTAAACGAGTTCAGGCATTGGCATTGAGAATGATGTCTGGTGCCATGCCAAGTACTCCCGTCATCGCATTGAACCACCTCACTAACACTTCAGATATCATACTTTTCCTGAGAGGTGAAACAAGCAAAGGGCACTGCCAGGCTTCAAGCCTACGGTAGCCTAACCCTAGAAACTATCGCCCACAGAAAAGGTACCATCAAAACGCACACCACTATCAACAAACAATTCATGGTAGACCTCAACATACCACCCAAAGCAGAGAGAGAACTATCTATACCAACCATGATGCTTGAACGACGCTTCACGGTCACCACTCCTGGAGCTGACAACATTGAATATAGAGGTTCACTCCAAAACACCATCGACAACATCCCCAGTAAGACTATCACCTGCTACACAGACGGGTCACGCACAGACTCAGGTAGCGGGGCTGGCTACATCATCACCACTGACGACAACAACACTACCCTAGAGGAAAAATCATTCAAGCTTCCTGATTATTGCACTGTTTATCAAACAGAGCTCACCGCCATCATCGAAGCTTGTAAATATCTCTCAACTTATACCAACACACACATCATCATATGGTCAGACAGTCTCTCCTCTATACAAGCTATATCCTCGCTCTCAACGAGGAGTAGAACTACTAGAGACTGTTCCTCAATGCACTCGGATCCACTAACACCTTAGAGATCAGATGGATACTGGATAGCTGCACACATCGGATTGTGGGGTTATAAAAAGCAACTAGTTAATACACTTTGAAGGGAAATTCCACAATCTTACATCAAACGCCTGATCGACGAAAAAGTCACCAGACTAAATCAAGAATCATGGATAACTGATGGTCCCAGACACACCAAACTGACTCTCGGACACAAACACATCAACATCATCAAAAATCTTAACACTACACTCAGTAACAACAGACAAAATTACAGAACTGCAGTGCACCTCATCACGGGACCTTGTGGCTTAAACAAACACCTCCATACCATTTGCAAATCAAACACCAGTGCTTGTCCTATGTGCGGCGACGAAGAGGAGACTGTCTCACACTTTCTCCGACAGTGCCCGGCTATTTCCCAAATAAGAGGTCAATATTTCCGGGACTACTACCTCTCCATCAATGACATATTCGACAACCAACACATCTCCACCATCGTCAACTTCGCAAACCACACTAAAGGCTTAATAGTGCCAGAGGAGCTGGACCAGACTGGTGTAACATAGCGACTATTCACTCGTCGTCTTAGTTCGCCTCTCTCTTCCACACCCAGCTACCACTTAAGCGTTCGTCTATGACACATCCCACAACACTTACCATCATCCTTGATATTACACATTCTGTTCCCCCGGCATCCTCCCATAGGACTGCCATACCCCAGGTAGGCAAAGCATCCATATGCTATCCTCTTGTGGGCCACCCAGGCCCAGCCTCTTTCTAAAAAAATTTTAAAAAGGCTGCGGCATGTTTGGCTCTGCAATTGCGGCATGCTTGGCTCTGCAATTGCGGCATGTTTGGCTCTGCAATTGCGGCATGTTTGGCTCTGCAATTAATGGGTGTGCCGCATTCCTGAACCCCCACATAACGGTACAAGTCACATTTGTTGTAAGTTTGGTGCTGATTGGGGTTGCATAACAGAGCAGGGAAAATAAATAACTTAAGTCGTGTAAATTGTTATTGTCACTTAATGCTTTTTTCAAATTTCTGCTTTTTCTCTAAATATAATTCTGAATTAGTGAAGGTTATAATAAAGGTAAAAAGATCACGTCACGACCTTCAAATTCTATAATATAGCTCGATAATTCTAATATAGAGATGATTTCTATGGAGAAAATGGAAAAAACCTTTGGGCAATTCTCCATTTTATGCCATTGCCCCCCCCCCCCCCCCCCCCCCCCACGGTGAAACATGGGAGATTTTGTGCCATCGTGCAGTTACCTGTTCGTAAGATATGGTTTTGCTGCCAGCTGTCCACACTGCTAAATGGTTTAGAATCTGTCTGATATCGCTGTTAGCTCCCTCCACTATTTTCTGCATGGCCGGAGGAGGCACTCTTAGTCCTTCCTTAAACGCTGGGAAATGTTTTGTTACAGTTCTGATGTCACACTAGAATGATGATTCCATTATCCTAACAAGAATGTCAAAGAAAGATGAGTTTTATAGATTTGTATCTATATATATCTATAGTTATCTGACCTATACTCATCATTGCTCCTTTCACTTGTTCTACTCGTGGTTTGTAAAATCGGAGGTCGAAACAATGGTTAGCCAAACTTCTGATCTTCTGATGGTTCCTGTGGGGGGGGGGTGCAGGTACTGTGATGACATTAAAATATTAGCTAATCAAACAGTTACTATAAATAACAAGCCAGCTCAAGGCTGCGACTGAGTCAAATTTTAAAGCGAACAGATACCTTTACATTTTACAAATGCCTTTAAGACGGATCATCATTGGTGGCCTCTAACCTGTCATTGCAGATACATATTATAGGAATACGGGTAGTTTTAATCAGTGCTATCAGCTCAGCAACCCCTCCTCTGTCCTCATTTCCCGCCATTCCATCCACTTCATCCATAATTAACACATGCCTATCTCCATCAGCTCCTGGAACAAATAATTAGTTATGTGGTGTTTAGGGAGAAAGGCTTCTCTTTAAGACACGGTAATCCTACTATACTTCTTGTTTTATGTTACGAAATTTAATATTACGGGACTTATGCCAGCTCCAGTCTAAGAAAATCGGGGATATGGGGGGAGGGAGGGGGTTATGGGGGGAGCTGGAGGGGGATATGGGGGGAGGGAGGGGATATGGGGGGAGGGAGGGGGATATGGGGGGGAGGGAGGGGGATATGGGGGGGAGGGAGGGGGATATGGGGGGAGGGAGGGGGATATGGAGGGAGGGGGATATGGGGGGAGGGAGGGGGCTATGGAGGGAGGGGGATATGGGGGGAGGGAGGGGGGATATGGGGGAGGGAGGGGGATATGGGGGGGAGGGAGGGGATAATGGGGGAGGGGGGATATGGGGGGGAGGGAGGGGGTTAATGGGGGAGCTGGAGGGGGGATATGGGGGGAGGGAGGGGATATGGGGGGAGGGAGGGGATATGGGGGGAGGGAGGGGGATATGGAGGGAGGGGAATATGGGGGGAGGGAGGGGGATATAGGGGAGGGAGGGGGATATGGGGGGAGGGGGGGGATATGGGGGAGGGGGGATATGGGGGAGGGGGGGGATATGGGGGAGGGGGGGATATGGGGGGAGGGAGGGGGATATGGGGGAGGGAGGGGGTTACTGTTCTTTTAGACGCCAATTAAAGATCAGTCTAAGAACGACATACTTATCTTTGACACGGGCAATAAAGTTGAAAAGTTGGTAGCAACCTCTTTCAGTAAGTCCACGAATAGTATGATTGTTGAGAACTTCAGCCACGTGCTCTTTGATGGACTTCTTGCTTCTCGCATCGCTCGCATTCAGCTCCAAGTAGCTAAATCCTAGTTCCTGAGAAAATATTAAATAACACCTTACATAAACTATAAATATGTTCACCCATATATAACATAAACTATAAATATATTTACCCACATATCAAAGTCACTATTGTGACGGTACATTAGAACTAGACAGAAACAAAGTGTGACGGGCCTGAACGGAACCCCTCGGTTTCAGTTCCTTGTTTAACACTGCCGTACAGCAAGGACATCCACCGGGTTGTCCAAGGATGGGCACATAGCTCACTCCACACTGTGCTATGTCAAATGTTGCTTTTATACCGAGAATCTACAGGAAATATTTCCTTGTAAGTTTAGAGGGCGATCTGTGAACAGACAACTACCTCATTCCCATATATAACATAAACTATAAATGAGAAATATCAGCGAAAACCTATAAATGCAAAAAAGTTGGAGAACCCGGGCATTGATCCAATGAGCCCGGTACCTCTCACATGCTAAGCGAGCGCTCTACCACTTGAGCTAGTCCCCCGATGTGTGAAAAGCGAATCGATTCTGAAAATTTTTCTAAATTTGGGATGTTTCTAACATTACAGTTACGCTACAAAATCCAACTTCTGTACAATAGCGAGAAATATTTTATTATAAGTACTACCGGTACAGTGGTAACGTTACGTCACTGTACCGGTACAGTGGTAACGTTACGCCACTGTACCGGTACAGTGGTAACGTTACGCCACTGTAACGGTACAGTGGTAACGTTACGCCACTGTACCGGTACAGTGGTAACGTTACGCCACTGTACTGGTACAGTGGTAACGTTACGCCACTGTACCGGTACAGTGGTAACGTTACGCCACTGTACCGGTACAGTGGTTACGTTACACCATTGTACCGGTACAGTGGTAACGTTACGCCACTGTACCGGTACAGTGGTAACGTTACGCCACTGTACCGGTACAGTGGTTACGTTACACCATTGTACCGGTACAGTGGTAACGTTACGCCACTGTACCGGTACAGTGGTAACGTTACGCCACTGTACCGGTACAGTGGTTACGTTACACCATTGTACCGGTACAGTGGTTACGTTACACCATTGTACCGGTACAGTGGTAACGTTACGCCACTGTACCGGTACAGTGGTAACGTTACGCCACTGTACCGGTACAGTGGTTACGTTACGCCACTGTACCGGTACAGTGGTAACGTTACGCCACTGTACCGGTACAGTGGTAACGTTACGCCACTTGCACTGTACCGGTACAGTGGTTACGTTACGCCACTGTACCGGTACAGTGGTAACGTTACGCCACTGTACCGGTACAGTGGTAACGTTACGCCACTGTACCGGTACAGTGGTTACGTTACACCATTGTACCGGTACAGTGGTTACGTTACACCATTGTACCGGTACAGTGGTAACGTTACGCCACTGTACCGGTACAGTGTAACGTTACGCCACTGTACCGGTACAGTGGTTACGTTACGCCACTGGTACAGGGTCATGTGGTATACGGCGGAAGCACTGTTCCGGTAGGCGCACGTACGAGTGTTGGCTGGCGTGGGTGTTGTGGAGGGGGGGGGTCCACTAGGTAAGTTTTGGGTTTCTCGAGATCATTTTGGGTTAAGTTTGGGATGGGGGGAGTTTTAGGATTAGCTTTGATCTTTGGTTCGATGAGAAGGGGCGAGGGTCAGAGTTTAATCTGGAGTCCATATATGAATATGTTGTTGTATGTATGTAGCTATGTACTGTACAGTATGTATGGTAGTATGTATGTCGTCTTATTATGTCGTCTCTCTGTCGTCTATATCCTGGCGGTACTATATGTACGTTTGTATGTCTATCTGTCATTTTGGACTACAAGTGTGACACTTGAAGTGTCAATTACACAGAACAAGCAATAAAAGAAGTTCTGGAGAACCCGGGCATTGATCCCGGTACCTCTCACATGCTAAGCGAGCGCTCTACCATTTGAGCTAGTCCCCCGATGTAAGAAATGCGAATCGATGCTCGAGAAGAAAATTCGGTTGGGGATGTTTTTAAAGCAGGCGAATCCGCCTTTTGTCCCATAAAAACTGCTTTGTAATTATCTGTTTATGTTCTGAAGTATGAAAATCTTGCGGAGGCGAAAAAAACAAAAAATGTTGGTTTCTGTAATCTGTACCATAGATGAATAACAATCAACATACCATATATGGTGCGAAACTTGTTTTGCGCCTTTTGTAGCATGTTAACTTTGATTAATCCAGGGTAGAGAAACCAAAATGTTCTCATTTACTGTCCACATCTATTACCAAGAATGTAATTTTATTAGGAATGTTTAGAAAGCAATAAAAGAAGTTCTGGAGAACCCGGGCATTGATCCCGGTACCTCTCACATGCTAAGCGAGCGCTCTACCATTTGAGCTAGTCCCCCGATGTAGTGTAAGGTAATCAATTGTCATAATTCAAATATGATTGGGAATGTTTACATATTAATAAAATCCAAATTATATTCCGTGGAGACTTTTTTTTGCAATCAAGAGACTTCTATTAATTTGAATTTTACCAAGTGATTTCTCGAAACTGTATCGGGGGACTAGCTCAAATGGTAGAGCGCTCGCTTAGCATGTGAGAGGTACCGGGATCAATGCCCGGGTTCTCCAGAACTTCTTTTACTTTTGTCAAAGAAAATAGGATATGGTTTAAGTAGTCAATCAAGATATTGACCAAGATATTGACCAAGATATTGACCAAGATATTGATCTAAGATATTTATATTAGAGTATGATTGATATTTTTTAGTATGATTGTATTTGGTCACTGGTCTACCGTTTAGTGATTTGATTAAGCAGTTAACATAAAATTTGAACATATATAGTGTTTACAGCTCAAAGAGTATTAAAACGTGATATTAATTATAAATATTGTTTGAGAGTTCTCCTGGTGCATCTCCATAACACTCAATATTCATCTTAGTGTAATGGTACTTATAAATAGTCAGTATATGACATAGTGATCACTGGGAAGTCCAGACTACACTGATCACTGATACCTTTTATCCGATTATAGGAGAGCGAACGCCCAACTGGCAAACGATCAAGCGAGTGAAATTAAAGTTAAATTAATATGAAAATACGCGCGCTCAACATCATGAGCGCGGGAAAAATTTCCACAAAAAGACACCGCGCATTCCAGCCAGGCCAGCAAACATGTGCTCAAAATAATGTGCCACGACCTGGCACACGATTAAAGGGGAGTTCACCCTAATTTTGTTGTGAAACTTGGTTTTGAGATAGCAGTTGACCAACAAACTACGACCGGTGACCGAACTTTTGAGCGGGTCCCGGACCCCAACCGCCAAACGGTGCCCGCGGGGCAGCCACGCCCATATTTGGTCCAAATTAAGCCCAATTTAGCCAAATACCCTGAACATGCCCAAAACCCAGATTTTAGGTGCTCTACTTGTAGCTAGTGGTCTCCTGAACTCGTAAATGATACAAAGAAAACCCCATTTACGGACGTGAGGAGAGTTAGGACTCCTCCAACTACATACAAAATTAAGTCAAAGTTCTGTTACGTCCTCAATAAATGTAATAGATTTTTAGTGTTGTAATTAGTTTAAAATTTTCATTAAGATTGGACATGCGAAATCTGGGTTTTGGGCATGCATGTTCAGGGTATTTGGCTAAATTGGGCCTAATTTGGACCAAATATGGATGTGGCTGCCCCGCGGGCACCGTTTGGCGGTTGGGGTCCGGGACCCCCTTAAAAGTTCTATCACCGGTTCTAGTTTGTTGGTCAAGGTGAACCCCCCCCCCCCCTTAATACATACCTTGGAGCATACGGTGGCGGATGTAGTCTTCCCTAAACCTGGAGGACCAGATAACAGAGCTGCTTTCAGATGACAACCTTCCTCTTTGTTGAAGGGAGCCTTTACTCTCGGCTTATTCCATCCTTCCCAATTCTGAAAAGGAGAAAAGTTGATATAGAAAGCCTTTACAGCTAATTCGCTTGTTCTCTGAATTATACATCTGTTGTAACAACATAATAGGAACATTATCTGAAGATAAAGATAACAGAGATGTAAAGATGAACCTTGAGCCACTTCAAGAGTTTGTTGACATTACTCTTAGCCCCTTGCTGTCCAATGATATCCTTAACTCTAGTCGGTCTGTATTTCTCCGTCCAGCTTATCGTACCAGCTGATCATGATAATAAATCATATCAACTTATTAATCTAACAGTCAAGTAACATATTTTATACTTCTTATCGGTTCATACACAAACTACCGTGTATATCATAATTCGCCGCGGTAAATCAGGGTTTGCGGTAAATCGGGGCGCGGTAAATCGGGGTTTTACTCTTTTTACTGTACATGCAATAATTTGAGGTGATACTCCGGTTGATATTTACCCGACGACATTTTCACAGAATCAGTTGAAGGTTTGAGGAGTTCTGTTTTTATTTTTGTTTCAGTGTTTATACTCTCTTTCTTTACGTCATGTTTCTCAGAATGTGATTTAGCAGTTGCAGTGGTAAGAGGTTCACGTTTCACTTCTGGTTTGATGATTTCAGTTTTCGGTTTTTTCTTCAATTCTTGAGCTGCTTCTTGTTCAACCTGAAATAGAACATGCTGGCATAAAAACTCCCCCCCCCCCCCCCCCCCCCCCCCCCCCGCATAAACGGTGAAACTTGGTATTTAGATGAGCATCTACAGACATTGCACTCAAAAAATAAACACGTTTATATATATATACAGGGTGGGCCAAAAGTCAGTGGGCATACGTTGACCTTAATAGCTCCGCCGTGTTTTATATTTGAGAGCTGTTGCTTTGCAGATGGCATACTGTACTTACTGGTTCGAGGATTCCGTCTTCAAAATTTGAAAATTCTAATATATTAGACCACGCGTGATTAGGTAAACCAATCACCTGATCACACGTAATGAATAAACTCGTTATGCTTCATATCTCGGTCATCTGAGAAGCTACAGTTCTAATTCTTTCAGGACAAACGTAATTCGAATGGCCAAACACAATTCAATAAAATTTAGCTCGATCCGACTATCCAAACTATCAAATAAATGCAAAAATTAACCTTCATTTTTTTTAAATGAATCGAATATTTTTCGATTTGACAAATTCCTCGAACCAGTGGTGGTAGTAAGTCATACCAGAAAGAATTATTTCAATTGGGCACTCAGTGACTGAGCTATTAAGGCCAACGTATGCCCTGTGACTTTTGGCCCACCCTGTAAATATATTTTCAAATATTCATCACAAAGTCGTATCTTTACTATTGCAGTACTAATAGTTCTTAACCTTAATGTCATAGGAACTCTTCTTTGCAGGTTTAGAGCGAATCAGATCCAGGAATCCATCTTCGTTAATCTGTGTTGTGTTGAACTTCTCAGCTGTTTCCAGCTTCTTAGCACCGACACCGTCACCCTTCAACTAATAATAAATTAAATCAATAGCACATATCGCTACTGGTAGCACATATCGCTACTGGTAGCACATATCGCTACTGGTAGCACATATCGCTACTGGTAGCACATATCGCTACTGGTAGCACATATCGCTACTGGTAGCACATATCGCTATCGGTAGCACATATCGCTACTGGTAGCACATATCGCTACTGGTAGCACATATCGCTACTGGTAGCACATATCGCTACTGGTAGCACATATCGCTACTGGTAGCACATTTTCTGATATGATTATAATCTTTACTGGACAGAAACATTTTGGCGCAGAATTTCTCAATTTGGTAAGATAACTCAAGACACGATTGAGTAAATTCAGAATACCACAAACTCACCAGATAGTTAGTTTTCTTGCTGACAGCAGATGTGACTCTGCCACCGTATTTCTTTACCATATTGGTAGCCTCGTCCCGCTCGATACTATCCAACACTCCTGATATCACAAACGTTAATCCCTCCAAACAGTTGGGTGCTCCCTGGAAAGGTTAGGATTTAGAATGCAGTACATACTCGTATTGAGTAATGAGTATAGTTATAATTGGAGGGTTGAAGTGGAGGGTTGAAGTGGAGGGTTGAAATAGAGGGTTGAAATGGGAGGTTGAAATAGAGCATTGAAGTGGAGGGTTGAAGTGGAGGGTTGAAACAGAGGGTTGAAATAGAAGATTGAAACAGAGGGTTGAAATGGGAGGTTGAAATAGAGGATTGAAGTGGAGGTTTGAAGTGGAGGGTTGAAGTGGAGGGTTGAAACAGAGGGTTGAAATAGAAGATTGAAACAGAGGGTTGAAATGGGAGGTTGAAATAGAGCATTGAAGTGGAGGGTTGAAATAGAAGATTGAAACAGAGGGTTGAAATGGGAGGTTGAAATAGAGGATTGAAGTGGAGGTTTGAAGTGGAGGGTTGAAGTGGAGGGTTGAAGTGGAGGGTTGAAACAGAGGGTTGAAATGGGAGGTTGAAATAGAGGATTGAAGTGGAGGTTTGAAGTGGAGGGTTGAAATAGAGCTAGAGGGTTGAAGTGGGGGGTTGAAGTGGAGGGTTGAAGTGGAGGGTTGAAATAGAGCTAGAGGGTTGAAATAGAGGATTGAAATAGAGGATTGAAGTGGAGGGTTGAAGTGGAGGGTTGAAATAGAGGATTGAAGTGGAGAGTTGAAGTGGAGGATTGAAGTGGAGAGTTGAAGTGGAGGATTGAAATAGAGGGTTGAAGTGGAAGGTTGAAGTGGAGGGTTGAAATAGGAGGTTGAAATAGAGGATTGAAGTGGAGGGTTGAAGTGGAGGGTTGAAACAGAGGGTTGAAATAGAAGATTAAAACAGAGGGTTGAAACAGAGGGTTGAAATAGGAGGTTGAAATAGAGGATTGAAGTGGAGGGTTGAAGTGGAGGGTTGAAATAGAGCTAGAGGGTTGAAATAGAGGATTGAAGTGGAGGGTTGAAGTGGAGGGTTGAAATAGAGCTAGAGGGTTGAAGTGGAGAATTGAAGTGGGGGGTTGAAATAGAGGATTGAAGTGGACGGTTGAAATGGACGGTTGAAATAGGAGGTTGAAGTGGAGGATTGAAGTGGAGGATTGAAATAGAGGATTGAAACAGACTAGAGGGTTGAAATAGGAGGTTGAAATAGAGGATTGAAGTGGAGGGTTGAAGTGGAGGGTTGAAATAGAGCTAGAGGGTTGAAGTGGAGGGTTGAAACAGAGGGTTGAAATAGGAGGTTGAAATAGGAGGTTGAAATAGAGGGTTGAAATAGAGGGTTGAAGTGGAGGGTTGAAGTGGAGGGTTGAAATAGGAGGTTGAAACAGAGGGTTGAAGTGGAGGATTGAAATAGAGGGTTGAAGTGGAGGGTTGAAATAGAGGATTGAAGTGGACGGTTGAAATGGACGGTTGAAATAGAGGATTGAAGTGGAGGGTTGAAGTGGAGGGTTGAAATAGAGCTAGAGGGTTGAAGTGGAGAATTGAAGTGGAGGATTGAAATAGAGGATTGAAGTGGACGGTTGAAATGGACGGTTGAAATAGGAGGTTGAAGTGGAGGATTGAAGTGGAGGATTGAAATAGAGGATTGAAACAGACTAGAGGGTTGAAATAGGAGGTTGAAATAGAGGATTGAAGTGGAGGGTTGAAGTGGAGGGTTGAAATAGAGCTAGAGGGTTGAAGTGGGGGGTTGAAGTGGAGGGTTGAAGTGGAGGGTTGAAATAGAGGATTGAAGTGGACGGTTGAAATGGACGGTTGAAATAGAGGATTGAAACAGAGGGTTGAAATAGGAGGTTGAAATAGAGGATTGAAGTGGAGGGTTGAAGTGGAGGGTTGAAATAGAGCTAGAGGGTTTAAGTGGGGGGTTGAAGTGGAGGGTTGAAGTGGAGGGTTGAAGTGGAGGGTTGAAATAGAGCTAGAGGGTTGAAATAGAGGATTGAAGTGGACGGTTGAAATGGACGGTTGAAATAGGAGGTTGAAGTGGAGGATTGAAGTGGAGGATTGAAATAGAGGATTGAAACAGAGGGTTGAAATAGGAGGTTGAAATAGAGGATTGAAGTGGAGGGTATAAGTGGAGAGTTGAAATAGAGCTAGAGGGTTAAGTGGAGGGTTGAAACAGAGGGTTGAAATAGGAGGTTGAAGTGGAGGATTGAAGTGGAGGATTGAAATAGAGGATTGAAACAGAGGGTTGAAATAGGAGGTTGAAGTGGAGGATTGAAGTGGAGGATTGAAATAGAGGGTTGAAGTGGAGGGTTGAAGTGGAGGGTTGAAACAGAGGGTTGAAATAGGAGGTTGAAATAGAGGATTGAAGTGGAGGGTTGAAGTGGAGGGTTGAAATAGAGCTAGAGGGTTTAAGTGGGGGGTTGAAGTGGAGGGTTGAAGTGGAGGGTTGAAGTGGAGGGTTGAAATAGAGCTAGAGGGTTGAAATAGAGGATTGAAGTGGACGGTTGAAATGGACGGTTGAAATAGGAGGTTGAAGTGGAGGATTGAAGTGGAGGATTGAAATAGAGGATTGAAACAGAGGGTTGAAATAGGAGGTTGAAATAGAGGATTGAAGTGGAGGGTATAAGTGGAGAGTTGAAATAGAGCTAGAGGGTTAAGTGGAGGGTTGAAACAGAGGGTTGAAATAGGAGGTTGAAGTGGAGGATTGAAGTGGAGGATTGAAATAGAGGATTGAAACAGAGGGTTGAAATAGGAGGTTGAAGTGGAGGATTGAAGTGGAGGATTGAAATAGAGGGTTGAAGTGGACGGTTGAAATAGAGGATTGAAACAGAGGGTTGAAATAGGAGGTTGAAATAGAGGATTGAAGTGGAGGGTTGAAGTGGAGGGTTGAAATAGAGCTAGAGGGTTTAAGTGGGGGGTTGAAGTGGAGGGTTGAAGTGGAGGGTTGAAGTGGAGGGTTGAAATAGAGCTAGAGGGTTGAAATAGAGGATTGAAGTGGACGGTTGAAATGGACGGTTGAAATAGGAGGTTGAAGTGGAGGATTGAAGTGGAGGATTGAAATAGAGGATTGAAACAGAGGGTTGAAATAGGAGGTTGAAATAGAGGATTGAAGTGGAGGGTATAAGTGGAGAGTTGAAATAGAGCTAGAGGGTTAAGTGGAGGGTTGAAACAGAGGGTTGAAATAGGAGGTTGAAGTGGAGGGTTGAAGTGGAGGTTGACATAGAGGATTGAAGTGGAGGGTTGAAGTGGAGGGTTGAAACAGAGGGTTGAAATAGGAGGTTGAAGTGGAGGATTGAAGTGGAGGATTGAAATAGAGGATTGAAACAGAGGGTTGAAATAGGAGGTTGAAGTGGAGGATTGAAGTGGAGGATTGAAATAGAGGATTGAAACATAGGGTTGAAATAGGAGGTTGAAATAGAGGATTGAAGTGGAGGATTGAAATAGAGGATTGAAACAGAGGGTTGAAATAGGAGGTTGAAATAGAGGATTGAAGTGGAGGGTTAAAGTGGAGGGTTGAAATAGAGCTAGAGGGTTGAAGTGGGGGGTTGAAGTGGAGGATTGAAATAGAGGATTGAAACAGAGGGTTGAAATAGGAGGTTGAAATAGAGGATTGAAGTGGAGGGTTGAAGTGGAGGGTTGAAACAGAGGGTTGAAATAGGAGGTTGAAGTGGAGGATTGAAGTGGAGGATTGAAATAGAGGATTGAAACAGAGGGTTGAAATAGGAGGTTGACATAGAGGATTGAAGTGGAGGGTTGAAGTGGAGGGTTGAAACAGAGGGTTGAAATAGGAGGTTGAAGTGGAGGATTGAAGTGGAGGATTGAAGTGGAGGATTGAAATAGAGGATTGAAACAGAGGGTTGAAATAGGAGATTGAAATAGAGGATTGAAGTGGAGGGTTGAAATAGAGGATTGAAACAGAGGGTTGAAATAGGAGGTTGACATAGAGGATTGAAGTGGAGGGTTGAATTGGAGGGTTGAAACAGAGGGTTGAAATAGGAGGTTGAAGTGGAGGATTGAAGTGGAGGATTGAAGTGGAGGATTGAAATAGGAGGTTGAAACAGAGGGTTGAAATAGGAGATTGAAATAGAGGATTGAAGTGGAGGGTTGAAATAGAGGATTGAAACAGAGGGTTGAAATAGGAGGTTGAAGTGGAGGATTGAAGTGGAGGATTGAAATAGAGGATTGAAACAGAGGGTTGAAATAGGAGGTTGAAATAGAGGATTGAAGTGGAGGATTGAAGTGGAGGATTGAAATAGAGGATTGAAACAGAGGATTGAATTGGAGGGTTGAAGTGGAGGGTTGAAATAAAGCTAGAGGGTTGAAGTGGGGGGTTGAAATAGGAGGTTGAAATAGAGGATTGAAGTGGAGGGTTGAATTGGAGGGTTGAAATAGGAGTTTGAAATAGAGGATTGAAGTGGAGAATTGAAGTGGGGGGTTGAAATAGAGGATTGAAGTGGACGGTTGAAATGGACGGTTGAAATAGAGGGCTGGATGTTATACAACCTTACCTCAGGTATTTCCTTGCTGCCCAGATTTTTGGGTCCCTCTCTGTTTTTATATTGCCAGTACCCGGAACTGTTTGCTTTACTTTGTACTGTATCTTCATTTTTGTCAGCACTAATTTCACCCTCATTTGATACTTTTCCCAAAGTTTTCTCATCACTTTTCGATTTCGGTCTCTAGAAATGTAAATTATTAATAGATTAATCAGTAGTACAATACACAGTAGTACAATAGTGACAATTTAAGAATATGCATAGGGTTGCAGGATATCTTGTATACTATTCATCAGATATAAGGTAAAACTAACGATGTTGTTCTACCTCATCAGATCTTGGTCGTTTTCTACTAGGTGTTACTGGGTCTTCTTCTGTACTGGACTTTTTCTCCGGCTGACCAATCTTTTCTTTCCAACTCATTACTTTCTTTTTCTGTGACAGTTTCTCTGCTAAACTTTCTGACACCTTCGGTGATGTTCCAGGCGTAACGTTCTCCTGACAAAAACACTAATAACATCACATAAATACCTATTTAATATTACGAAATAAGCTCAGTAGCTCACTTAAGAACTGTTGAATTGCACACAACATGTACTTGTTTGCGATATAGTGAGTCAATGCTTTGGAGAACTATTGTGTGATTAAAAGAGCACTCACTTAATTAAAAGACTATAGCTGAAATGGTTCTAAAGTTATAAGGTCTCTTCCTTGTATTCTGAAATTGTTTATAAATATAACTTGCAATAATTGATTTAGGTCATAATTAAATTGGCCGAATTTGAGATTGTACCAATAAAAAAATCAAACTGACCTTCTGTTTCTTCTTGTCTAATGTATCCAAAGTTTTCTTAAATGAAGGATCTTCAATCCGAGAAATCGTCAATATCTATAGCTGAGATATCATTTTCTGTGATATTATTTGATGGCCTGTCAACCTTTTTTACAACTGGCTTTGGGTCTTTTTTGACCTTCGAGGAACCAAAGAAGTCTATTGGAGCAGCTGCTTTCTTCTTAACTTCAGGAGAGCTAAACTTTGAAATGGATGGCCCTGTTTTCTGTTTCCTGAAAATTCAAAAATTAATTAAAGAGTCATTACTTGCAATTTCAATTCATTCACTAGTTGTACGATGAGACTGTAGCTGTATCCTTTCGATATAGTCAAACCCTAAATTTAATTCAACTTACTTAACAGGAAGTTCAATAATGTCATCATCGTCAGAATCAGAGATCACCAATCGCTTCTTTTTTGGGCGGCTAGTTTCTTTACTAGGTGCTGGTTTGCCAGATGATTGTTTGCCAAAGAAGCTTCTGATGTCCATGCTGGAAACATGATATGTAATATGTAGCGAAAATATCAACTCAATATACATATATAGTATATATATATTTTCTCTGGTCTCAGGTTACTATCCATGGCATACCAGTATTATCACTCCTATCTACAACCCAGGCAACCCCTTCAGCCCAGACAATTACAGAGCAATAGCAGTTGGCAGTTGTAAGGGTAAATTGTTTTCTAGCATTTTACTTTTTCTGTTACACTTCAAAAAGCTTTACTGTCCTGACCCAAAAGAACAGCTTTGATTTTCGAAGGGTGCCCAAACTAACGATCACGTTTTCACCCTCAAGACAGTCATTGACAAATACATAAAAGTTAAAAAAGCTAGTCTCTGTGCATGCTTTGTTGATCTGAGAAAGGCCTTTGACACTGTATATAGGGACCTCCTTCTGCACAAAATTACATGCCTTGGAAATTCCAAGTTGGAATAACCGGTAACTTCTTCAACTGCTTAAGTGATATGTACAAAAAGTCAATTGCCCATATAAAAATTTCTAAACTCTTGTCCCCTAAAAGTGATATTGGCAAAGGAACGGAGCAAGGACACCCCCTATCACCAGACCTTTTTAAAATCTATATTAATGACTTTTCATCTCTCCTGAAATCTGCTGATGTTCTGATATCACATCTGCTCTGGGCTGACGATCTTGTCCTTCTTGCTTTAAGTCCCAAGTCCTTGCAAGTCAATATCAACATTCTATTTGATCTCTGTAACTCCATGGGCCTTGAAGCAAATATTTTAAAAATTAAGATTGTTATATATTCAACCCTCCCAAAAGAAAGCATTCCTATGAAACATTCACATTGGGAGGTCAGCCCATCCAGCACACCGAAAAATACTGCTATCTTGGCATAATATTCCACAGAAATGAATCATTTACAGCAGCAAATACTGAGCTGAGGGCCAAGGCTCTCCATGCTCTCTATGGCCTCAAAGGCAATATAGTTAAGGATGCCCTCTCTCACCGTGCCCTTAATATTCTATTTGACTCCTTAATAAAACCAATCCTGCTTTATGGCTGTCAAGTCTTATGCCCCCACTCAAAAACCATGAGATACCTTTCAAAAATAGATGACAAAGCCAGCCCCAGCATACCCTGAAGTACATTGCACAAGACCACTGTGAAAAATTCCACCTTAAGTTTATCAAGTGGTACTGGTCTATGTCCGTCCATTCAAAAGCATCAAATATAGGGCGAAAGCGGGTGAAAGCGAAAGCGGGTGCCACCTCCTATTCTTTGAAGCCTGCAAACTTGCAATAGATTACTTTAGACGCCTTGAAAGCACTGAAAACGAACTACTCTGTGCTGCATTTCACGAGCAGATCATGCTGGGCCTTCCTTGGTAAACCAACATCTCAAACCTTCACACCAAATTCAACTTCCCCCACTCATTTTCCTCAAAATCTAAGCTCTCCACCCACTGTCACAATATGAGGGAAGAATTCGTGAATACCTGGAAATGTTTATGTTTGTATCACGGTCGTTTCACTAAGTGGAAACCCCTTTATCGTTATTACGATACAGGGGGAGTTGCGCACTCTTGCGCAGCGGTTCATGCAACGTATGTCAAGCTTATGTCTGATCGCATTGCACTGTGTGGCGAGTCAGCCTTAGTGTCAATAAAAGAATCTTACTTCCATCCAGTGCGGTATATGCATAGCTCTACTAGAGAACCAATACCTGCAACATGCCGCCGTGGGCTTTTCACCACCTTCAATACACCTATCTCTGATAAAGGCCAGCTAATCGGCTTAGTAATTGGTGTACAAACTGGCAGTTCTGCAGCTCAACAAGACTCTGATAAGGCATTGCTCAAAGTAGGGCGCTGTGAGTTTCTCACTAATACCAGGAACGTGCGCAATCGCATATTCTTATCAATTATTTACACGATCACGTGACAAGCAACTCAGGCATCGATACGCATTTAATGGGTAACAACTCAAGTACACAATCTCCTTCACCACACACCAACTAATGTGGTGTTTCCAAATATTCCTAACTCATACCAGCGATTTGCCCAGCATGCCACTGGGGCTAGATCGGTTCTTTTCTAATCACTCGGGATCCATGGTAGTCAATCTTCGGAGGGAAAAAAGAAGGCACCCTTGAAAACATCATATACTAGTAAAGTTTTCTCTGCCTCCGGCAGACCAAGGAGAATCTTTCCGTCGTTAACTTACTGCTTTTTTTTAAAAGGGGGGACCCCCAACCCATTTAGCTAAGACACCTCACAGCAAGTACACCAAAGTGGCTCTTGCTTGTGAACGGTACATCAACTACCCGCCGTTAACTTACGGCACAATAAAGTTCTCATAGTTATCATATTCTGGACAAAAATTTTGTTCAGAATTCCAATCATTGAGGCCGTTGGTAAGAGTGACACAAGTCGCCATCAAGGTACTGGAAGCTAGAAGCAGTATATCCGGAGAAACATTTGATCCAATGAAAATTTTGAATATGATCCACCATGTGTTTTAGAATTTACTCAGAAAACCTTACTGCCTGGCGGGCTCGTAGCGCGATGCAGTACTGGGTCACGCCTCCGCGCATCTTCTCGCAATTCCACAGTATGCAGATCGGCGATATGCGAAGAATTGACATCGTGAATCAACTGGCAGGCTTGCCTGCCAGATAATTTTCCAATAGCATGTTTGACGTTTGTCGTCGCGCGTGACGTAAAGTTTGCTGCTCGCACGCGTTTTACAGTTTGAATTCAGCCATGGAGTCATGATTGCTCTAACCAGAGCCCTCTCCCTTGCAGTAGCGCGCGAACGCCGAAGGCGGCAAATATTCTTTTTTTGAAACAAACGCGTCACGCAGTGCGCGTATACACATGGCTATGTGAAGAGTCATGACAACCAAATTGGATGATGATTTATCACTCTACGCTCGACTGTCACGTGCCCTTTTCAACCCGTTCTCTAGCTGGTCCTGGACGACTTTTCGAAACCCTAACCCTTTATAACTTTTCGAAACCCTAACCCTTTAACTTTTCGAAACCCTAACCCTTTAACCTGATCACAACTCTAACCCTAAGCTACGAATGACGAAGCCGCGCACTCGTGCGCGGCAGGGTTACAACGTGAAACAAAACATTACGGACTATTTATTTATGGACTATGGAGTCAGTTGAGGAAATATTTTTTGAATAACGTTCACTTCTGTTTTAGAATTTTTACTTAAATTTGAATTGCGCTGCGATAAAAATTTATGATTGAGACGAATTTTCCAGTAGTTCACTACAATATGTTAAATCATAGTAAAAAGCGTATTTTACATTTCTTTAGCATAGCCAATATTCTTATTGGGCCGCGCTCAGCCTGTCATTCCGCTGAATCTTTATTATGTTTATCAACATAATACCCTGATGTCCCCAGGTAACCAATATTTATGACTTTATTATCGGATGTTTAAGTTTAACTATGTTTATTATGATATTATTATTCATTGTAATATAATATGGCAATAAAATTTAAATTTTGTTTTACTTAAATTTTGTTTTACTTAACCCAATCTTTAACAAAAGCATTTGCTAAAACTTTAACCCTAACGATAAATTAGATTTACTTCCTTATATGGTCATATCACGTGATCGAGACAGTTTTTCGCCAATATCTCGTTTGGGGAGCATTTTAACCCTATGTCATGGGGGGTGATTTGGAATCAGCATTCGAAAATACATTTATTGAAGTTGGTTTCAACTGTCGGGGTCCCTTTTAGAACAATCTCGAAGATCGACTGTAAAGTGATTTAGCACAAATTAATTTGTAAAGTTATAAAGCTGCGACCTTTTATTCGGCCCAAAATCATATTTTTCAGGATAACTCCAAATCTACGTTGTCTCAAATTTCCCCTGAGGGGAAACGTTATTTTTACAAGGCGAACATTTTGCAAAAAACCGAAAGTCTTTATCTCTTTTACTTTCGAAGTTAGGCCCCAGCCGGTAAAGTTTCCTGGGTAGAATTTTTGAAATATGACTTATGGGGCTAACACTTAACTTTCTTTGAAAAATCGAATTTGGGGTAAAGTTAATCTCATATTTAAAAAAAAATCTTACAATTATGATACAACATTGGTTAATGGGCACGGATCGAACGGTTACAAGGCAATATTTGGGTAACTTTGTCACACTCATGATACCATACCTCTATTCTAATGTGAGGTGTCCTAAAAACCCTTTCAACTCATTATTTGATGGTTGCTCTACCAATCATAGCCCTAAAATATATCGTTTTGAATAGTTAGCTAATACAGGCACTTGGTTATTGGGAAATGAGGTTAATTCTGTCACAATATATGAAATTTTAAATTTTGGGCGAATTATTTATATTTGATTTTGGTTTGAAAGGCGGGAAAACTTTATATGATGACAATGTAGTTGATGCGAGTTAAGATCAGTTGATGTTTACATTGTCACAAGAAATTATACGAAATCGTAAATAGGTTAAAAACAATGATTATAGAATGAAATAGTCTCTTATAATAACTCTTATAATAACTGATGTGACAAGGTGAACATGTCTTGCCCCTATTTTGAAGATCTATATTCTATACCTCTATTAGAATTCAACATTCTTAAGTTTAACAATTTTAGGTTAAATTTGTCAAAGTCACTAAAAATGTGACAAAATTAACTTTCCCTGCCCCAACAATATCAAGATAGTGTGTTAAAATTGGCATACTAGAATGCTTTATTGCCTATATAATTTAAATCAATCCAAACTACAAAATATATGTTAATGTGATGACGATTACCTAACTCTTATAATAACTGATGTGACAAAGTAAACATGTCTTGCCCCTATTTTGAAGATCTATAACTCTATTAGAATTCAACATTCTTTCAGAAACGATTGGAAGAATATTGTCCAGAACATCAGAGCTCAATTTTAACAATTTTAGATTGATTTGTCAATGACACTGAAAATGTGACAAAATTAACTTTCCCTGCCCCAACAATATCAAGATAGTGCACGTTAAAATTGGCATAGGGTGCTTTATTACAGGTATATTAATCGATCCAAACTACGAAAAATATCTTTTAATCTGATGACGATTACCTAACTCTTATAATAACTGATGTGACAAAGTAAACATATCTTGCCCCTATTTTGAAGAACTATACTCTATTAGAATGCTATGAAACTTAATCATCAAAAAATTTTGATTTATAATAATTTTTTTGTGACGAAATTATCCTATTTTTGACCATGTTGTGGTAGTTTAATTGTGACACTGTTAACATATTACCACCTGATAATGATTCATGTGACTGGTGCATGGTACTAGCAGTGTTGTTTGATCCATAGTACGTAATATAAGGGGTTTAAGCTGGTATATCATTATTTGTTCAATTTCACACATGTTCAGATATCATCAAGATTATGTGACAAAGTAAACTTGGTTGTGCCTTCTGTGTTTTAATTCCTTACGACTATATGATATAATAACAATTCCCAGCACTTTCAGGCCATCAAATAAACCTACACTACTCAGCATTGCTTATCAGGGTGCCCTAAACATTCATCACATATTTTCTTTAATGTGTGACAGAGTAAACCTGAGTGCACCATCTAACGAAAAAAGTCGTCAAATATGTAGGTAATGGTCATATGTACCCATCCAATCAACTGGACACTCAAAAATTTGGTCAAAAACGGCAGCAAGGGGTCCATATTTACTCCGTCACATGTTTATAGTGTGACAATGTAACCATTTCCGTGCCGGCCGTATTTAAGCGATATCTTATCACCTGATTAAGATATCGTTATGTGACAAAGTTAGCCTAGAGGATGATACGATTATCCTAACCATCAAGGGTTTATGTAATTTCATAGTGTGACAAATTGAACTACACTGTGCCATTTAATAGGGTCACTTATATTTACCAATATCCTCAAACTCAAATGAACGTGTCCATATACTAATTGATAGATGTTTTTTAAAATTTTTTTAGAGAGGCTGGGCCGTGATAGCCCACGAGAGGATAGCATTAAGATGCTCTGCCTACCTCTGGGGTGGGACAACCCTTGCGAAGGTTGCCGGAGAAGTCAGAGTGAATGGTGGAGGATAGGATAGTGTTAAAAGTGACATGAGTCAAAATGATATGCTTAAGTGCCAGCTGGTTTGGAAAAGTAAAATGAGATGAGACAGCATGTGAGTTTACTCTATGTCACCCCGGTCTGATCCAGCTCTTCCGGCACAATTAAGCGTTTGGTGCGGTTTTCGAAATTGACAATCGTGGTGATATGTTGGTTGTCGAATATGTCGTTGACGGAGAGGTAGTAGTCCTGGGAATATTGACCTCTTATTTGGACAATAGCCGGACGCTGTCTAAGGAAGTGTGAGACAGTTTCCTCTTCTTGGCCGCACATTGGACAAGTACTGGTGCTTGATTTGCAAATGATGTGAAGGTGTTTGTTTAAGCTGCAGTGACTCGTGATGAGGTGAACTGCAGTACTGTAATTTTGTCTGTTATTGCTGAGTGTAGTGTTGAGGTTTTTGATGATGTTGGCGTGCTTGTGGCCGAGTGTCAGTTTGGTGTGTCTGGGACATCAGTTAACCAAGTGATAAATGGTGCTGCAATATAAGTTGCTCATTGTGTGGCCGGATGACAACTAACTAAAAATAAAAATTAACTTGATTATATAATAATTAATTCGGCTGAACCAACACATAGCATGAGTCACTTTAACATTGCGGCCGTCTACCAAATTTGAATGACAAACAATAACTGTAAGCCTGCAGTCTGGAGCAATGATACACAACTGAGTATAATGAAAGTGTGTTTTTTTAAAAGAGAAAAATGTCAAACAGTATATATACAGGGTGGGCCAAAAGTCAGTGGGCATAGGTTGGCCTTAATAGCTCCGCCGTGTTTTATATTTGAGAGCTGTTGCTTTGCAGATGGCGTACTGTACTTACTGGTTCGAGGATTCCCTCGTCAAAATTTGAAAATTCGAATATTTTAGACCATGCCAATTCAATATCAAAACACCTATATTGTTTTCTCTGAACATGCTAAACGCCTAATATTTTCAGAGACGGTAGATTATTAAATGTTGCATATATGATCTGAAAACATGAGGCAAAACGGATTAGAAATGACGATGTTATCAAGCATTTTCTGTATCTCGTTAACAAAATTGACTGGGTGATTATGTGAAACCTTAATTGGGCACCCTTAACAATTCCCATAATGTTTAATGGGGTGGTTAACGGGGTCACCTAATCACGTGATTAGGTAAACCAATCACCTGATCACACGTAACATGAATAAACTCGTTATTCTTCATATCTCGGTCATCTGAAACTATCCAAACTATCAAATAAATGCAAAAATGAACCTTCATTTGAAAAAAATGAACTCGAATATTTTTCGATTTGACAGATTCCTCGAACCAGTGGTGGAAGTAAGTCATACCAGAAAGAATTATTTCAATTGGGCACTCAGTGACTGAGCTATTAAGGCCTCTGGCCTTAAAGGGGGTGGGGGTGTCACGTCCGTCTATGTCTGGCATCCGCTTGTCTTATAGAATCCAAAAAGGACAGGACAGGACAGGACAGGACATAGCCGGACATAGGCGGGCATAGGTGGACATTGGTGGACATAGGCGGACATAGGCGAACAAAAGCGGACAACTAAATTAGCTAAATTTTGCTAAATTTTGTTGAAATTTGCTAATGAGGCAGGGTGATCATGCTACCCTGATCATTATGAGCCGAAAATATTTTGTCCAAATCCTGTGCGAAAAATTCTTATAATGTTTGTCTGTTAATGTCCGCCAATGTCCGTCCGAGCCCACCAATGTCCGCTAATGTCCCAAAAAACACATCCGTTGTCTCATAGAATCCAAAAAGGACAGGATATAGGCGGACATTGGCGGACATGTCACCCCCCCCCCCCCTCCCCCCATTAAATTCAATTTTATACTATTCTCATATTAATGTTTTCGGCCAGGTAGCGCAGTTGGTTAGAACGCCTGTCTTACAATCGTTAGGTTGCGAGTTCGAAACCCACTGACTGCCTGGTCGTGGGGTGAGCGTCGTCGACGTTCAGCTAAGGATCATGAGTGGTCTATGCAGCCCCCCGGTCTACTCAGCCGAATACTCGAGAAATCGGGTGTGAGGGTTAAATGAGGAGCTGCACATTGCAGCAAAGTCTCGGACGAAGAAAGTATGGTACACACTACCTTAACCGTCACTGGCCAAAAAGATCCTTCGGCTTCCTGTAATTGGCTGGTTGCACTTGTGTAACATTGTGGCTGTTGGAATACACCGAAGTAAAATAAGTGTCTAGATAAAAAAAAAAAAAAAAATAACATATATTTTATACTAATCTCATATTAATAATATTGGTAGCTGATGACGAAACAAGGCAGCAATGAAGCAGGTCCAGTGGTAAAGTTAGAAGCAACCAGTCCAGTACACTGCCCCCAACCCGCCAGCAGCAATGTTTTTACCAACTTTATAAAGAAGTGAGTACTCGGCATTAACCACAGTAACTGTATATACGATATATCATACTATCATATGGACTCCACATGATATGATACGATTTTATTAAATTGTTAAAAGTAATTTTATCTTTTTCTTGTTTTGTATTACAGCCAAAATATATAATATCACGAGTTTACTGGTAGGCTGAACTTTATATCTGTTGGTCGCTCTACTGGAGAAGATATCCTCAACACATGTTGTGTTTAATCTGTATTATAACCATTGTCTAATACGGTGCATGCGAAACAAAACACATGACGCAGCAGCCACAGTAATTTCACACACTAATCAGCATCATCTCTCCGTCACGTGGTGTAAAGTGTCTCGTGGTGTAAAGTGTCACGTGGTGTAAAGTGTCACGTGGTGTAAAGTGTCACGTGGTGTAAAGTGTCACGTGGTGTAAAGTGTCACGTGGTGTAAAGTGTCACGTGGTGTAAAGTGTCACGTGGTGTAACGTGTCACGTGGTGTAAAGTGTCTCGTGGTGTAAAGTGTCACGTGGTGTAAAGTGTCACGTGGTGTAAAGTGTCACGTGGTGTAAAGTGTCACGTGGTGTTAAGTGTCACGTGGTGTAAAGTGTCACGTGGTGTAAAGTGTCACGTGGTGTAAAGTGTCACGTGGTGTAACGTGTCACGTGGTGTAAAGTGTCTCGTGGTGTAAAGTGTCACGTGGTGTAACGTGTCACGTGGTGTAAAGTGTCACGTGGTGTAAAGTGTCACGTGGTGTAAAGTGTCACGTGGTGTTAAGTGTCACGTGGTGTAAAGTGTCACGTGGTGTAAAGTGTCACGTGGTGTAAAGTGTCACGTGGTGTAAAGTGTCACGTGGTGTAAAGTGTCACGTGGTGTAAAGTGTCACGTGGTGTAAAGTGTCACGTGGTGTAAAGTGTCACGTGGTGTAAAGTGTCACGTGGTGTAAAGTGTCACGTGGTGTAAAGTGTCACGTGTGTAAAGTGTCACGTGTGTAAAGTGAACTGTGCTGCAGTAATATATGCTCGAGGAGTGTCATGTTTCACTACGTCATATTCCAATTTTTATCTCATTTTCGCATCATCGCTGTGTTCTCGTGATCAGTCTGTGTGGTTCGTATGACTTAAATCTCGTGTGACTTTATACCATCAGTTTCATTTGCTCTCTTTTTCCTTTGCCTGAGTATACAATAGTGGATCTAGCTATCTAGCTAGGTTAGTGTACACTGTACAATGTTAAAGAAACATAGAGCTAGATCGTTAAACGGAGACAAAATACACACCAAGACCCAGCCTTCCCCCGACAGGTGTGTGTTACCAATATTGTGTTACATTGGGCTCCACAAGCCAGGTGTGTGTTACCAATATTGTGTTACATTGGGCTCCACAAGCCAGGTGTGTGTTACCAATATTGTGTTACATTGGGCTCCACAAGCCAGGTGTGTGTTACCAATATTGTGTTACATTGGGCTCCACAAGCCAGGTGTGTGTTACCAATATTGTGTTACATTGGGCTCCACAAGCCAGGTGTGTGTTACCAATATTGTGTTACATTGGGCTCCACAAGCCAGGTGTGTGTTACCAATATTGTGTTACATTGGGCTCCACAAGCCAGGTGTGTGTTACCAATATTGTGTTACATTGGGCTCCACAAGCCAGGTGTGTGTTATCAATATTGTGTTACATTGGGCTCCACAAGCCAGGTGTGTGTTATCAATATTGTGTTACATTGGGCTCCACAAGCCAGGTGTGTGTTACCAATATTGTGTTACATTGGGCTCCACAAGCCAGGTGTGTGTTACCAATATTGTGTTACATTGGGCTCCACAAGCCAGGTGTGTGTTACCAATATTGTGTTACATTGGGCTCCACAAGCCAGGTGTGTGTTACCAATATTGTGTTACATTGGGCTCCACAAGCCAGGTGTGTGTTATCAATATTGTGTTACATTGGGCTCCACAAGCCAGGTGTGTGTTACCAATATTGTGTTACATTGGGCTCCACAAGCCAGGTGTGTGTTACCAATATTGTGTTACATTGGGCTCCACAAGCCAGGTGTGTGTTACCAATATTGTGTTACATTCGGCTCCACAAGCCAGGTGTGTGTTACCAATATTGTGTTACATTGGGCTCCACAAGTCAGGTGTGTGTTACCAATATTGTGTTACATTGGGCTCCACAAGCCAGGTGTGTGTTACCAATATTGTGTTTCATTGGGCTCCACAAGCCAGGTGTGTGTTACCAATATTGTGTTACATTGGGCTCCACAAGCCAGGTGTGTGTTATCAATATTGTGTTTCATTGGGCTCCACAAGTCAGGTGTGTGTTACCAATATTGTGTTACATTGGGCTCCACAAGCCAGGTGTGTGTTATCAATATTGTGTTTCATTGGGCTCCACAAGTCAGGTGTGTGTTACCAATATTGTGTTACATTGGGCTCCACAAGCCAGGTGTGTGTTACCAATATTGTGTTACATTGGGCTCCACAAGCCAGGTGTGTGTTACCAATATTGTGTTACATTGGGCTCCACAAGCCAGGTGTGTGTTACCAATATTGTGTTTCATTGGGCTCCACAAGCCAGGTGTGTGTTACCAATATTGTGTTACATTGGGCTCCACAAGCCAGGTGTGTGTTACCAATATTGTGTTACATTGGGCTCCACAGACCGTTATATTGGTATTTGTAATAGCTATTGTCCGTCAGTCAGTTATAGATATTATATAAGGCTTCATAAAGCTTATAACTTCATCTCATTATACATTATACATTGTGTGCCCCCATCTAATATGACATCTTCTTCCCTAGACTTCTAGAACATTACCCACAGGTTGTAGTCCTTCGGTTTATAAAACCTAGAAATAAATTACAACGAAGCCTATTCTACTAGTACTACACCCTGACTGACATGTACGTATATTTCTCATCAGAATGGCAGATAAATATGTAACTAGTTGCTCTAACTTTAGGAATCTTGCTAGAGGGTGACACGGCTCACAGATTCTTAAAGATAGCTGTGTTACTTATCATAGTGGTGATATCGATTATGTCAAACATAGATTTCTGAATACGATGATCATGAGTACGATGTTGTCACATTGAAACGTTGAATAATTCCTTTCCTGATAAGAGCCTTTTCCTTGTCGTATCAAACGGGATCAATAGAAATTTACCCAAAAAACATAGATTTCTGAAGAAGAAAAGTGTTATAATATTTGTAGGTGTATAAACGGGCTCTACTATCTCAGTAAACTTTAATTTTTCTTGAAACAGCTTTAAATTCATAATTGCGAATCTGTTACCTCTAACTAACCTCAATAATCATCAATAAAAGTTAAGCTCAAGCCAAACATATCGTATTATTATTGCCTCAGTTAACCTCACTTTGCCTCAGTTAACCTCACTTTGCCTCAGTTAACCTCACATTGCCTCAGTTAACCTCACTTTGCCTCAGTTAACCTCACTTTGCCTCAGTTAACCTCACTTTGCCTCAGTTAACCTCACTTTGCCTCAGTTAACCTCACTTTGCCTCAGTTAACCTCACTTTGCCTCAGTTAACCTCACTTTGCCTCAGTTAACCTCACTTTGCCTCAGTTAACCTCGATTTGCCTCAGTTAACCTCACTTTGCCTCAGTTAACCTCACTTTGCCTCAGTTAACCTCACTTTGCCTCAGTTAACCTCACTTTGCCTCAGTTAACCTCACTTTGCCTCAGTTAACCTCACTTTTAGTGCACAGCCGCTGGTGTGCCGGCTCAACACCAGACAATAGGTTTACAGAGTTTACACTATAACTGTTGTCTGAGTAGATAATTGTACACACGATTTGACCAGAATCAAGACTCAGTTATCTGGGAAACGCCAGACAGGAGGATGTGGGAGGATATGGGAGGATGGTCAGGTTCTGAACGTAGAAAAAAAAGGTTACTCTAGTAGCAACTACACCCTGCTACTAGAGGAGGTTCTGAACGTAGAAAACTTTACACGGTAAAAGTGAAAAATCATTTTAACGACAATCTTAAAATACAAGTTAAAAAGTTATTCGCTGGTAGAGCCAGTGCCACTCTCGTTACGAAAATAATTTTTTTAAATACTAGGTTTATTTCTTACAATAATATCTCCTCTGATCACAAGTCTAGCATTTCCAGTAAACAGTATTGTAAATATATAATAATAAACACAGATACTAGCTGTTGTAATGTTAGCTTGCTGAGCTGACTACTTGGGAAATATAATAACCCGGATTTAAACACGTCGCACATACTGCTTCTCCTATTTACACGTATCTTTAGTAAACATTCTTACTAACAATTGTAGAGCGAGATCGCATATTAATCAATTATTGTTTTTGTATGTCCTCACTTCTATCTGGCACTAGTTCCAATACACCAGCCCCATGTTTAGTAAAGTTAAACAAGAACTAGAACTCTAATTATCTGCTTCTTATCTTTTCACTCAATTACCGTACTTAAAACGTAAACTCTTATCTTCTTAGAAGACGTTAACACTCGATACTTCGTGAAATTACAATCTTAAGTCTGGTTTTTAAAAGTTGGAAGAGGAATTTAGAGGTTAAATTCTGATTTTTTAGGCTTTATCTACATTTTCTTGATAAGTTTATAAGTGAATTAGTTTTTAAAGTTCGTTCAATTGATTAAAAAACAACCACCGAACCGATCATTGCTTTTTTTCCACTGCACTAGTTATGCTTTGTAATAACACTCATCTCACAATATTCATATTATAATGAACTAGTGTAACTAGTGTTATTAGTATAGATAAACTTACTCTGTTCTAACAAGGAATCACAATATAATTAAAATTACTGCCGCTTGTTAAATTAATAAGTTACCTAAGTAGAGTAAGTGCTCTAAGTTTGAAAAGTTCCTCGACTTTCCTTACGCTTAAATCTCTAGAATTAAAGTCAGATATTAATAAGTTAAATATAAAATAGATTAATCTGATGGTGACCTTTTGATTTCTAAGCCTCATTAGTCTGAGCAAACATTACTTTGTATTACTTTATATTATGAATAACTCAATATTTTAAATTACTTTCAAGTAATTTAATGATTAAAATCATTAAACATTATGGAAATGTTATAAATATTTTAAATTCCAAAGCTTTAACAAATGTTTCCTTCCACAGAGTACCCTACAGTCAGATCTCGCCAGCTCTAAAGAGAAGAGCAGCAGCTTCCAAATCAGTTCCAGCTGATTCACATGCTTCATCACACGACCAGTCAAAACGCTCCACTGTCAGTCAGATATTTCACTCAGGTTTGTTCACATGCTTCATCACATGACCAGTCAAAACGCTCTACTGTCAGTCAGATATTTCACTCAGGTTTGTTCACATGCTTCATCACATGACCAGTCAAAACGCTCTACTGTCAGTCAGATATTTCACTCAGGTTTGTTCACATGCTTCATCACACGACCAGTCAAAACGCTCCACTGTCAGTCAGATATTTCACTCAGGTTTGTTCACATGCTTCATCACATGACCAGTCAAAACGCTCTACTGTCAGTCAGATATTTCACTCAGGTTTGTTCACATGCTTCATCACATGACCAGTCAAAACGCTCCACTGTCAGTCAGATATTTCACTCAGGTTTGTTCACATGCTTCATCACATGACCAGTCAAAACGCTCCACTGTCAGTCAGATATTTCACTCAGGTTTGTTCACATGCTTCATCACATGACCAGTCAAAACGCTCCACTGTCAGTCAGATATTTCACTCAGGTTTGTTCACATGCTTCATCACATGACCAGTCAAAACGCTCTACTGTCAGTCAGATATTTCACTCAGGTTTGTTCACATGCTTCATCACATGACCAGTCAAAACGCTCCACTGTCAGTCAGATATTTCACTCAGGTTTGTTCACATGCTTCATCACATGACCAGTCAAAACGCTCCACTGTCAGTCAGATATTTCACTCAGGTTTGTTCACATGCTTCATCACATGACCAGTCAAAACGCTCCACTGTCAGTCAGATATTTCACTCAGGTTTGTTCACATGCTTCATCACATGACCAGTCAAAACGCTCCACTGTCAGTCAGATATTTCACTCAGGTTTGTTCACATGCTTCATCACATGACCAGTCAAAACGCTCCACTGTCAGTCAGATATTTCACTCAGGTTTGTTCACATGCTTCATCACATGACCAGTCAAAACGCTCCACTGTCAGTCAGATATTTCACTCAGGTTTGTTCACATGCTTCATCACATGACCAGTCAAAACGCTCCACTGTCAGTCAGATATTTCACTCAGGTTTGTTCACATGCTTCATCACATGACCAGTCAAAACGCTCCACTGTCAGTCAGATATTTCACTCAGGTTTGTTCACATGCTTCATCACATGACCAGTCAAAACGCTCCACTGTCAGTCAGATATTTCACTCAGGTTTGTTCACATGCTTCATCACATGACCAGTCAAAACGCTCCACTGTCAGTCAGATATTTCACTCAGGTTTGTTCACATGCTTCATCACATGACCAGTCAAAACGCTCCACTGTCAGTCAGATATTTCACTCAGGTTTGTTCACATGCTTCATCACATGACCAGTCAAAACGCTCCACTGTCAGTCAGATATTTCACTCAGGTTTGTTCACATGCTTCATCACATGACCAGTCAAAACGCTCCACTGTCAGTCAGATATTTCACTCAGGTTTGTTCACATGCTTCATCACATGACCAGTCAAAACGCTCCACTGTCAGTCAGATATTTCACTCAGGTTTGTTCACATGCTTCATCACATGACCAGTCAAAACGCTCCACTGTCAGTCAGATATTTCACTCAGGTTTGTTCACATGCTTCATCACATGACCAGTCAAAACGCTCCACTGTCAGTCAGATATTTCACTCAGGTTTGTTCACATGCTTCATCACATGACCAGTCAAAACGCTCCACTGTCAGTCAGATATTTCACTCAGGTTTGTTCACATGCTTCATCACATGACCAGTCAAAACGCTCCACTGTCAGTCAGATATTTCACTCAGGTTTGTTCACATGCTTCATCACATGACCAGTCAAAACGCTCTACTGTCAGTCAGATATTTCACTCAGGTTTGTTCACATGCTTCATCACATGACCAGTCAAAACGCTCCACTGTCAGTCAGATATTTCACTCAGGTTTGTTCACATGCTTCATCACATGACCAGTCAAAACGCTCCACTGTCAGTCAGATATTTCACTCAGGTTTGTTCACATGCTTCATCACATGACCAGTCAAAACGCTCCACTGTCAGTCAGATATTTCACTCAGGTTTGTTCACATGCTTCATCACATGACCAGTCAAAACGCTCCACTGTCAGTCAGATATTTCACTCAGGTTTGTTCACATGCTTCATCACATGACCAGTCAAAACGCTCCACTGTCAGTCAGATATTTCACTCAGGTTTGTTCACATGCTTCATCACATGACCAGTCAAAACGCTCCACTGTCAGTCAGATATTTCACTCAGGTTTGTTCACATGCTTCATCACATGACCAGTCAAAACGCTCCACTGTCAGTCAGATATTTCACTCAGGTTTGTTCACATGCTTCATCACATGACCAGTCAAAACGCTCCACTGTCAGTCAGATATTTCACTCAGGTTTGTTCACATGCTTCATCACATGACCAGTCAAAACGCTCCACTGTCAGTCAGATATTTCACTCAGGTTTGTTCACATGCTTCATCACATGACCAGTCAAAACGCTCCACTGTCAGTCAGATATTTCACTCAGGTTTGTTCACATGCTTCATCACATGACCAGTCAAAACGCTCCACTGTCAGTCAGATATTTCACTCAGGTTTGTTCACATGCTTCATCACATGACCAGTCAAAACGCTCCACTGTCAGTCAGATATTTCACTCAGGTTTGTTCACATGCTTCATCACATGACCAGTCAAAACGCTCCACTGTCAGTCAGATATTTCACTCAGGTTTGTTCACATGCTTCATCACATGACCAGTCAAAACGCTCCACTGTCAGTCAGATATTTCACTCAGGTTTGTTCACATGCTTCATCACATGACCAGTCAAAACGCTCCACTGTCAGTCAGATATTTCACTCAGGTTTGTTCACATGCTTCATCACATGACCAGTCAAAACGCTCCACTGTCAGTCAGATATTTCACTCAGGTTTGTTCACATGCTTCATCACATGACCAGTCAAAACGCTCTACTGTCAGTCAGATATTTCACTCAGGTTTGTTCACATGCTTCATCACATGACCAGTCAAAACGCTCTACTGTCAGTCAGATATTTCACTCAGGTTTGTTCACATGCTTCATCACATGACCAGTCAAAACGCTCCACTGTCAGTCAGATATTTCACTCAGGTTTGTTCACATGCTTCATCACATGACCAGTCAAAACGCTCCACTGTCAGTCAGATATTTCACTCAGGTTTGTTCACATGCTTCATCACATGACCAGTCAAAACGCTCCACTGTCAGTCAGATATTTCACTCAGGTTTGTTCACATGCTTCATCACATGACCAGTCAAAACGCTCCACTGTCAGTCAGATATTTCACTCAGGTTTGTTCACATGCTTCATCACATGACCAGTCAAAACGCTCCACTGTCAGTCAGATATTTCACTCAGGTTTGTTCACATGCTTCATCACATGACCAGTCAAAACGCTCTACTGTCAGTCAGATATTTCACTCAGGTTTGTTCACATGCTTCATCACATGACCAGTCAAAACGCTCCACTGTCAGTCAGATATTTCACTCAGGTTTGTTCACATGCTTCATCACATGACCAGTCAAAACGCTCTACTGTCAGTCAGATATTTCACTCAGGTTTGTTCACATGCTTCATCACATGACCAGTCAAAACGCTCCACTGTCAGTCAGATATTTCACTCAGGTTTGTTCACATGCTTCATCACATGACCAGTCAAAACGCTCCACTGTCAGTCAGATATTTCACTCAGGTTTGTTCACATGCTTCATCACATGACCAGTCAAAACGCTCTACTGTCAGTCAGATATTTCACTCAGGTTTGTTCACATGCTTCATCACATGACCAGTCAAAACGCTCCACTGTCAGTCAGATATTTCACTCAGGTTTGTTCACATGCTTCATCACATGACCAGTCAAAACGCTCCACTGTCAGTCAGATATTTCACTCAGGTTTGTTCACATGCTTCATCACATGACCAGTCAAAACGCTCCACTGTCAGTCAGATATTTCACTCAGGTTTGTTCACATGCTTCATCACATGACCAGTCAAAACGCTCCACTGTCAGTCAGATATTTCACTCAGGTTTGTTCACATGCTTCATCACATGACCAGTCAAAACGCTCCACTGTCAGTCAGATATTTCACTCAGGTTTGTTCACATGCTTCATCACATGACCAGTCAAAACGCTCCACTGTCAGTCAGATATTTCACTCAGGTTTGTTCACATGCTTCATCACATGACCAGTCAAAACGCTCTACTGTCAGTCAGATATTTCACTCAGGTTTGTTCACATGCTTCATCACATGACCAGTCAAAACGCTCCACTGTCAGTCAGATATTTCACTCAGGTTTGTTCACATGCTTCATCACATGACCAGTCAAAACGCTCACTGTCAGTCAGATATTTCACTCAGGTTTGTTCACATGCTTCATCACATGACCAGTCAAAACGCTCCACTGTCAGTCAGATATTTCACTCAGGTTTGTTCACATGCTTCATCACATGACCAGTCAAAACGCTCCACTGTCAGTCAGATATTTCACTCAGGTTTGTTCACATGCTTCATCACATGACCAGTCAAAACGCTCCACTGTCAGTCAGATATTTCACTCAGGTTTGTTCACATGCTTCATCACATGACCAGTCAAAACGCTCCACTGTCAGTCAGATATTTCACTCAGGTTTGTTCACATGCTTCATCACATGACCAGTCAAAACGCTCCACTGTCAGTCAGATATTTCACTCAGGTTTGTTCACATGCTTCATCACATGACCAGTCAAAACGCTCCACTGTCAGTCAGATATTTCACTCAGGTTTGTTCACATGCTTCATCACATGACCAGTCAAAACGCTCCACTGTCAGTCAGATATTTCACTCAGGTTTGTTCACATGCTTCATCACATGACCAGTCAAAACGCTCCACTGTCAGTCAGATATTTCACTCAGGTTTGTTCACATGCTTCATCACATGACCAGTCAAAACGCTCCACTGTCAGTCAGATATTTCACTCAGGTTTGTTCACATGCTTCATCACATGACCAGTCAAAACGCTCAC